ATGATGCTGATTTGCACGAATAAACAAATTAAAACATTTACCAAAGAGCGGTTGCTAACGATGTCAGAAAAAGTGACTCGATTTGGATTTTTTCTCAAAATAATAATAATTTTATCGAATAAAAAAGTATGTTGACAGTATGAAATAAAATAGATAACAACATACGTCCGGTAACTCTTTTCGCAGTACTCGTTTCGAAATTAAAGACTCGGCTACCTACTCGTCCTGAAACATATCACTCGTACTGTAAAATTTGAGCTACCGGACCGGACCGTATTTAGAATAACTTTAATTACCATTTATGTTTTCATCAACACTAACAAGTATTTAAAATAACAAGTAATAATTTGTTTGTATTGTTTATTCATTATAATAATTCCATTTATTCACCAGAAACTTTTAAACGAAATAAAATCTAATCGACTAGAAATAACGGCAAAGTTGTGCTAGGCTCATCTGGCAACGTTGCAAATTATATAAATGGTTACTAAGAGATTTTTACACATTGTTTTCGTCGCCCTCTGTCGAGTGGTAGCTTTATTAAATGTATTGTTGCTGTGATTTGGGTTATCTACGCGCGCGATTGGTGTCCAAGCTTTTCGCCGGCGTTTGACGGCCGACTGTTGGTGCGCCATCTCTTGTTCGCCGGCCGTTGGCCTGTTCGCTCCAAACAATAGCATGGGTCTATCTATATGTATTTAATCAATGCTGGTGGAGACGTCACGCACGCCGATGGACGCACCTTGCTATTGTCGACTATGGGAATCGGACCTTTCTAAATTGGAAACGGACGGCCTCTGGGACTGATAAAAGACCTGTCTTATTTATATTGGTGATGTAAGTGACTGGATCTGGACGCCGCTTGGAAATGGAGTCATCAGCTTTTTGCGGGGGATGGGTGTACAGTTTTCAAATCAGTATGCTTTCTAAAACCGTAATTACATCTAAAATTACATACAATTCAGCTGATTTCGATGTCTAATTGCAGTCTTATTGACTGCATTTCCTTTTTCCGTCCTGAGCATAAGCTGGGAAGTAGAGCCCCATGTAAGAGGATCCGTTTGATGAATAGAAACTGAAAACTTGTGTAAAATGGTAAATTTGTAGAGAAGTGTGGGAGATATAATTTACCATTTTAAACATGTTTTCTGTCTTTTGTTGTGAAGAGTATGTACATTAAGGGCAAAAAAAGGCAATTTATAAGCCCCGCCCACCCACCCTGTGTCAATTGTGACGATGTTTCTTTATAGGTTGTGAGCAAGAACGCGAAGCTTAATTGCAAAATCCTTATTTTTCTACCAGTAATGACCATTTGAAAAATGTTCTTAAGTAAATGTATTGTTCAAAGAAAAGTTTTAAGCAAAAAATAAAACCAAAATTAAGCTCCGCCCCTCGGCTCACGATGAATAAGAAAATTCATCACAATTGAGATGAGGGTGGGTGGGCGGGGTTTGCATTTTGCCTGTGTTTTCTTATGTGTGCGTAGTTTAATGACAAGAAACTGAAAACTTGTTTAAAATGATAAATTTGTAGAGAAGTGTGGAAGATAAAATTTACCATTTTAAACATGTTTTCAGTCGTTTGTTGTGAAGACTATGTAAATTAAGAAGAAACCAGAAGTCAAATTGTAAGGCTCGCCCACCCACCCTGTCTCAATTGTGACGATTTTTCTTTATACGTTGTAAGCAAGAAGGCGGAGCTTAATTGCAAAATCCTAATATTTTACGAGAATTTACCATTTGAAAAATGTTCTTAAGAGAAAGTATTGTTCAAAGAAAAGTTCTAAGTAAAAAAGAAAGCCAAAATTAAGCTCCGCCCCTCGCTCACGACGAATAAGAAAATTCATCACAATTGAGATGAGGGTGGGCGGGCGGGGTTTACATTTTGTCCTTTTTTTCTTATGTGTGCGTCGTTTTTTATTCACGACAAAAAACCCAAAACTTATTTAAAATGGTAAATTTGTAGCCAAACGTGTGAGATAAAATTTACCATTTTGAACATGTTTTCAGTCTTTTGTTGTGAACAGTATGTATATTAAGAAGAAAAAAAGGCAAATTATAAGCCCCGCCCACCCACCCTGTCTCAGTTGTGACGATTTTTCTTTATACGTTGTGAGCAAGAACGCGAAGCTTAATTGCAAAATCCTTATTTTTCTACCAGTAATGACCATTTGAAAAATGTTCTTAAGCAAACGTATTGTTCAAAGAAAAGTTTTAAGCAAAAAAGAAATCCAAAATTAAGCTCCGTCCCTCGGCTCACGACGAATAAGAAAATTCATCATAATTGAGATGAAGGCGGGTGGGCGGGGTTTGCATTTTGCCTTTTTTTTCTTATGTATACGTAGTTTTCTATTCATGACAAGAAACTCAAAATTTGTTTAAAATGGTAAATTTGTAGCCAAATATGGGACATAAAATTTACCATTTTAAACATGTTTTCAGTCGTTTGTTGTGAAGTCTGTGTAAATTGAGAAGAAACAAAGTCGTTCTTTTTTAAGGTTTTGTAACCCCTATAGTATGAAAAAGTAGGTACCCCTTTTCTAGCTGCGTATTTTACGTGTGTACGCTTACCAAGATTTATTTGAATATCCCCATCAACAATTTTATGACGTAATCTAAAAATTTTACATACTAAATTCTATTTAAATTTTATAAAATAACACGCTTGTGTACTTTTGGCTTATTCACCTGCCCTTATTCACATAGACGTCTAGATTTTTGGATAAAAAAATCAGAATTGTAAGATAACATTTTACACTTTAAGTTAGAAACTATAGAACCGACTGCTCTAAAATCTTGCAGAGGTTTAAAGTTATTGTAAACATAGTATATCGCTTATCAATCTTTTTTGGTTATGTTCTCCAAAAACTTGATAACCTAATTTCAACATTTGTATAGTGTCTGAAAAAACTAATGAATGGAGCAATTTTTGAAGAAACCGCGGACTTTGAAAAGTTTGAAAGAATTTTGGGGGTTCTTAATTTCGATATTATAACACAATAAAATTCATAGAGTCAAATTGTATCATTTATCTAGGCACTTGCAGAATACCGTAGTGTTTTTTTTTAATTCGGGAGACTAGCCCCGCACTACCCACCCTCTCTTTTCTTAGAGGTTATGTCATTTGCCAGAGTCAGTTTTATCTTAGCAGGTACTAGCCCCGCCCACCCGCCCTCACTTTTCTTACAGGATATCTCATTTGCCAAAATTAGTTTTGTCTTGGTAGCTATTAGCCGCACCCACCCGCCCTCTGTTTTCTTCGAAAATATCTCATTTACCAAAATCAGTCTTATCTTAGCAGGTATTAGCCCCACCCACCCTCCCTCTCTTTTCTTAGAGGGCATATCATTTGCCAAAATTAGTTTTATCTTAGCAGGTAATAGCCCCGCCCACCCGCCCTCACTTTTCTTACAGGATATCTCATTTGCCAAAATCAGTTTTGTCTTGGCAGCTACTAGCCGCACCCACCCGCCCCTTCTTTTCTTAGAGGGTATGTCATTTGTCAAAATCAGTTTTATTTTGGCAGCTACTAGCTCCACCCACCCGCCCTCTCTTTTCTTCGAGAATATCTCATTTACCAAAATCAGTCTTATCTTAGCAGGTATTAGCCCCACCCACCCACCCTCTCTTTTCTTAGAGGGTATATCATTTGCCAAGATTAGTTTTATCTTCGCAGGTACTAGCCCCGCTCACCCGCCCTCACTTTTCTTAAGAAGTTACCAATAAAACAATAAAACAAAATAATTTGATCAATCAAAAATAGGGTGATTAATTTTATTAAATTTATTTTATGTAATGAAAAAAAAGACCTGCCGCCTGCCAGTTTCAATCGGTCAACCCTGGGTCTATAAGGCGAAACTGAGGCACGCTAGCTGTAACACGTCTTCGTAAAGAACTTGGTAGATTAAACAATAAACAAATATAAACAAAATCAAGATAGATTTGTAAACCACAAGTACAGGAGTATATTTTTTATACAATTTTGGTAAGATTAAAAATCGATACAAACAGACAGACAGACAGACGGACGGACGGACGGACAGACAGACAGACATCGAGAAATCATGAAACTGGCAAGTTTTCTGTTGGACTCCATTACTGTAGTTCCCTAATTTGCGCTCAGGAAGTAAAAATGAACATTATATGGCGAGAAATGTAGTTTTGTTAAAAAAATACCTCTAAAACGGCAGTCACGTACCATGGAAATCTGAAAGTTCAAAAGTTGAAAGCTAATTCCCAGCGAAAGCTGTCGCATCATCGACACCTTGCACGTAACTTTTACAGACGTATCAGATGCGCCAAATTATAGTACATTATCACTACCATTTTTACTTCAGAATTGTGAGAATCGAGCTTTAATATTTTCCGCTTGTGCGCTTAATTGCTCGCACCGCTATCACCTTGTAAACGCTTAAACTATGATCTCCAAAACTTGCTCACAAACAAGTCAAATCGCCGCTTCGCCTTTTAATTAACTGGTAGCCTCAACAGACCTCCTACGGCTCGAAATAAAATCCATCAAACCTCTCCGTTTGAGCATAAACAATCTAAATAAGGAAACAATCTCCACATCTCCACATTAACTCTTCGCAACAATTAGGCCATTCGGTGTCGACACCACCTTACTCACAACCTCCGCGCGACATACGACCCATCGTCAATTTAACGACTTCGCTGACCGTCCCATCAATTTAACGCCTCATCTCCGGCACCATTCGACTTTCACATAAAGATTTTTCTCGCAGTGCACTTCATTAAAACTAACAGACATCGCACACCATTCGAATTCCAGGACCGTCTCTTCCCCGCCATAAAACACACCCATTAAACAATTATTTTACTCGTTAGTCTGGCGTATTCTTCTTCGCAACGGTCGTTCTGTATAAATGAATTTCATCTAAAGAAATAACTGAATCGAATGAATCCTAATTGCAGGAGAAGGCGAGCGCATAATGCATGCGAGGTCGTTATTTTATTGCTTTTTTTTCTTAGGGGACTTACCGTGAATGTCGTCCACGCATATCCGCAAGTCTTCACGGAAGGCCGGCAGGTGAGGGTGGCACTGGCAGGTGCAGGGAGCGGCTGGGGCGGTGGCGGAAGCCGTACCGCTGCTCAGACCCACGCAGGTTTCGGGTTTGCAGGATTTTTGGCCTGAAATGAAGATTTGGAAAATTATCGCAATTTACGAATGCTGTCTGAAAACAGTTCAATTTGCAAGTACTATCGCACGCAAAATATTGTCGGTATCCAGCACCCAGCAGTTTTGCGGGTTTTCATTATTCAATGCCACTTAGCTAAACTAAAGTGGACAAAAACCAAAATTTCCTGGTGTGATTTTGAATTCGAAACGAGAATTTTTTGAGATAATATTGTTGAACTTAACAATATATTTCTTAATAACTCAAATTTATACGACTGATTACACAACGATTATGTACAAAATAATTCCGGCGCAAATTGACTGGACTCGACTCGTTACGTCCTTCTAGATCTTCGCCGATTGGGGTCTTTTTGGAATACCCATCGCGAGTTCCGCTTCCAGGCTTTTCTTTAGCAAATGCCGCCCGGCCGCCGTCACCGATGATGAGTAGCCATCATTGCCGTGCATACTAGAAAGCTCTCGACAGTCCATAGGCGTCGTACCGGGGTGGTGTATGGGTTTATTTCGTAACACTATTTTAAACCATACATTAGATTGATTTTTTTAACAAAGATGAATCTGTTTTTAATAACTTTATTATTTCATTACATTTTCAGAAATGCTCTCGGTTTATACATACACGTTTTAGAACACAGTTGCAACACCAAAAGGCAAAAAATTTTAGAACAAATCAAATCGCAATTTTACCTTCCGGATTGAAGACGTCCCCCTTGTTCTGCCTGACCACCTGTAGGCTAACGTCCGTCATTCCTTCCAGCGCGTTCGCCAGCCATGGTAGCACCAACATCAACAAACCCGCTACCGCCATAAGTGATCCGGCCTCACGACCATTTTATCTGGAAAACAAACACGATGCCATCACTGATCGCCACGAGAGCCAACATAAATTAATTTTCTTTACGATTTTTTAAAAGCCACTAAACGGCCAACAGGTTCCCGACTGCTTGCGGTAATTAAGAAACGAGCAAGTTTGTAGTTTTATGACACGGTGACATGTCCGAATGACCCGTTAGAAGGTGCATTACACAGCGGTATGGTGAGAATTTGGGATGATGGTTGATGGATGGTCGGAACGAATTTTTCACAATGGGTGCTGGGTCTAACGGTGTAAAGTAAGCGAGTGTTGGGAAAAAAATACGAGGTCTGTGAGCGAAAATCGACAAGTTTTTTTTGCGTTAATAAATTACAAATTTCATAAGACTGAAGCCTAAAACTTTGAAAATATTTGAAAAATTTTTGAAAGTTGAAATTTTTAAGTAAATTAACGTGGAACTACAACGGGTTTATAAGACAGTAAAATTCAAAAATTTGTATTTGTATTTTTGAAAAAATAATTTGTAATCCGTTGTTCGACCTGAAAGCTGTTTACTTAATTATAATAATCAACAAGCGTAAGGAATTCGGAATTCATTCTGTTAATAGCCTGAGCTTATCTGAAATTTTCGCATTTCTAGTGGCGCGTCCTGCGGCCCATTTCGAATCAGCTTTTATTTTCAAACTTTGCATGTAGCGTAGCGCTCACATTCTTTCCATTTTCATAAATTTCGCATTCTGTGCGCCGATAACACCCAGCTGTTTTTAAGATAATAAACGTTTTAGGACAACAGCTGCCGTGAATGGAAAGTAAACTTTGGTCAGTGCAATTACCCACCATTCAAAGCGTCGTTACGCATTCGCTGAGAACTTTTCCTTACGTAACTCTCGGAAGACACAAAAACATAATTAACAACGAAATTATTTTAATTCGGCCAATTTGTAACCCTGATGAGTTATGTCAAAACGAAAAATTCCATCGGATCTAGCGAATCATCATGGCGGCCGTGTTTCAAAGAAAAATGTAATTAACAAGCTCATAAACTATGCAGCAATTCGACTGCAGTAAAACATTTTCGTACGACAAGTTTTCGCATTAGCAACTAATAAATTCCTTCTATTTTTATAATAAGCCCATAAAAATCATCCGCCCATACATCGTCTCTCTCGATTAATTATTTATGTGTCGCCGCGCGTTTTTACTCTGTTTATGGAGAAAGCAACATGTGGAAATTGAATCGGTTAACCTGATTTTCGATTTTGAAATTTTTCCGTGTGCCTTCTGGAGTGAGACGTTAAGCCGGAACGACGACTTTAGAGTATTTGTTTGCAGTTGTATGTTTAAAAGCTCTTAAAGGTGTGAGAGTCGAGGATTTGTTTGCCAATTACAAATTTCTGGCGCTCAAAAGCGGGTGTTTTGCATGTAAATGGTGGACTGAGTGGAAGTGGTTGGATGGCGCGAGAACAGTTATTATGGCAAGTGCAGTGAAAATATTTTCATTAGGGTTTTGTGGAAGCTAATCTCAAACTGCTGTTTTTCCTGGAGGCATTTGCATTTGCGAGCCGCGCAATCAGCAGCGAGATAATTAAGTCTTTTAGCAGCAGCGATTACAGAAGCTGTATATTTTGAGACAAGAAACTTATAAAACGGTACAAAGCCAAAGAGATTTTGTTTATAGTATGCAGTTTTTATTGGTAAAAATGCTCAATGCGAAAGGCCAATTTTCCGAAGTCCTGCAATTCCGCCTTCTATCATCCCCATCAATCTGTCAGCGCGCGTTCAGATCAAATCATGTCGGAATTAACCCGATTTATGGCCGTCCTGCAGCCGTCATTGTGAGAAAGAGTTCCTCGATGGCCATTAAACGGTACCATTTCGCTCGTTTCTCGCCGATAATTGATCGCTCGCCGGCTTCAAAAAATCCATAAACCTTATAAATGATTCGTTAGAGTGTGCAATTAATGTGACAGTGTGATGATCTTGAGGGACAAGGACGGTAGGGTTAGTGACTTCGAACTGTATGGAGGAGCAGATGGCAGACGGAGAGTCATATGCGTTGATTTCAGTTGCAGAAGTCATGCGGTGATTCCTCGGAAGCGTAAACGGAGAAAAAGTGGTCTTGGTCAGGGACAAAAGGGAGCAGCGAGAGAATATGAATCGAGCGATGAGATTTTTCTCGGTTTGGTGCCAATTGTGGTGGAGGAGCCGCATTTCTGCACGTAGTAACTAGTAATAATAAAATTATGTTAGGAGTGTCGAGGTTTAATTAGGGATCAATTGTGCATTGAACGGAACGGTTGACCTTTTGTTATATATTTTTACTTCCAAAGTGTAAACTAGCGAAGCATTGTACAAAAGGTTTCATGATTTATATTTTCTCGACGTTTCGTAGCGTCTACAGTATGAAAAAGTAGGTCGTCCGTTTCCGACTATTTATCTGTTGGCGTGGTGAGTCATTAAAGAAGCTGTGCGACAGTTGACCAGTGCAACTTGTACCGTGGACTACACAAATTCACTTTTAACGGTACTATTTTTTTTTTTATAATTATTGTCAAACAAAGTTAAAAATGTAATATTTCATTTTCCAAAAAATTCTAGAAGCGCACCTGTAGTTTAACAATCCACATCTATATATTTTTGTTTCCCCATCGTAAGCTAAGAAAGTATTGTAATAGCCGAAAGGCTACTTTCATGTTTTCTGGACGTTTCGTGGGTCCTAGGGTCGAAAAAGTATGTCTCCGTTTCCGTCTGTCTATCGTCTGTCATCTGTGTTGATATTTGTTAGACAGATAAATCTCCAGAACTGTCGGACTGATTGTTGTCAAATTTTAAATGTACCTATTTGAAAGATCGTATGTATAAAGATATAAAATGTTAACCAAAATTTGTGTAATCATTCCCACCAACAATTTGGTGAATCACCTGAAAATTTTGTACAGTAAATGCCATTTAAATTTTATATAATAACATACTTCTATACTTATGGTTCATGAATCCATTTTGATTTTTTATCCTATGCAGAAAGATGAAAATTGTTTAACATTTACAATTTAACTTGAAGCTACGAAACGCTCTCAAATTTTGTCAAAGTTTTGGGGTCATCGTAAGTATGGTAAATTGTTAATCAAGATTTATGCGTTTATCTTCAAAATTGATGACGTCATCTCAACATTTTCCCGAATGAATCCTATTTAAAACTTATGAACTTATAGGGGTTACCATCAAGCAACTTTTTTTAAAAGATTTTTGTATAAGACTATTTTGGTGACTCTTGGTGTATTATTTTTTAATTAATTCGAAAAATCTCGGGGACCCTTGGTGATTTATTTTTGAAAATCTATGAAAGTATCTTAGGGATTTCCACTTTACTTCTCGAACGTAAGTTAAGGAAGTATTGTAATCTAGTCCATTGGACGACTGGCTACCTTGATATTTTCTCGACGTTTCATGACACCTCGAGTACAAACAAAATAATCTCAGAAACTATCGAACCGACAGTTGTCAAATTTTGTATGTACATTATTTTGTGTGTTTATTGCTAACCAAAATGTGTCTAATCATCCCCACTAAGTATGACATCATATCCAACTTTTACAATAGTAATTGTTATTTAAATTTTATAAATTAATGTACTCTTCCACTTGTAGATTATGAATCTGTGTTGAGCTTTTGCCTCAGGCATCCAAATGTATAAGAACATTTTACGATTTAACTTTGACATTGCAAAACCGAATGCCCTGAAATCTTGCAAAGATTTTTTATTCTTTTACTTCTTCTTCTTGATGATGTCATCTTACAGTTTTACCGAATAAATGTTATTTAAATTTCATAAAATAACGTAGTCCTACATGTGTGATTTATGAATCCATTTTGAATTATTATCCTAGACACGCAAATTTTTTCTAAAAGGTTTCGCCTCTGATATGGTTGACATACTGAGTTACTGTGCTCTTTTGCCTTGTTCTTAACCCTGCTCCTGAAGATGCCACTTACGAAAGTGTCCGACACGTTGAGCCCAAAAACTCAATTTACACGGTTCCAACCCGGAAAACGATCATGTATTGATTCCGACAGTGGAAGCCTCCGAAATTATTTAAATCAATTTGTTTGTTTTGCAGATATTTTAAATAGCCATTTTGATAGCATCGCGCTCACATACTTACAAAAGAACAATAGGAACCACATCATTTTTAGGCACACTAGTAATTAGAAATAATGATAGGTCAGAATTCGATGCATTTGGGAAAGATACCGACACATTTTTGCCGTGTCACTGCTGACTCTCATCACTATCCTTAAAGATAGATCTATATGTCCTTTTTTTTAATAAACCGGTGAATTTTTTATCACAGCCACCAAAGAAACCCGAGTAGTGAAAATTAGAATTTTGTTTGGCTAACGTTACCCTAATGCATAAAATCTGCTCGCACATCACACACAAGACATAAAATAGACTTCCGTGTGACCAACATGTCACATCGTAGTCTCAGTTCAACGTAAAAAAACAGCAAAGCGAGATATCCTCCAGATACTCTCCTTTTGGTAGCAGCACCAGCCCTGTTCGTTCGAACAATACACCGTTCGCATTACCGTCCCGCCATCTGCTACGTGCCACCCATTACCTTTCCGTCCCATCCATCCATCCATCGCTCGTAAATCTTGTTATGGCGAACCGTTAAAAGTACCATGAAATATTGTAGTGTAGTGTTTTTTCGCGCAAATAACCTTCCTATATTTGCCATATGCCGGAACGTGCGCCAAACAAACGTGAGGCCTCCAACATTTTACCCATGCCCATGTTACGTCGAAGTACCATTGTTCGAACTACTGCATTCAATGCAAACGAAAGTGTTTCGTCGGCTTTTCCTGAGAACGTGTCACACGTAAAAGTAAAAATCTTTCTTCTTGCACTCGGCCGTCGTAAATGGATGCGAACAATGCCCAAATAGGAAAGTGCCCATGATGGTGATCTAGTTAGCGGCTTGGTTGCGCGATAATTAGCGCAGGAGGAAAATGACTGAT